GCAATGGCCGCTCATGGCCACCGCAGCCCCGACCTGCTGGGCTCCGGCGATCCTCCCGCCTCGGCCTTCCGAGTAGCCGGAACTACAGGCACGCGCTACCACGCCCAGATGATTTTTGATTTATGGTAGAGACGAGGTCTCGCCAAGTTGGCCAGGCGGGTCTCGAACCCCTGGGCTCAGGCAATTCACTCACCTTAGCCTCCCAAAGCGTGGGATTACAGGCTGAGCCACCGAGTCCAGCTATTACTCTTATCTTTAAAAATTTTTTTTAAATTTTTTATGGTTGGTTCCATGTTTTTGCTGTTTACTCATATCTTTAATGTCTCCTTTTGGGAATGATGTTATCTTCTCATTATTTCTCGATCCTATTTTCTGCCAAGAAATAAAGTAAGAGAGGGAGAGTGAGAGCGAGGAGGAGGGCAATTAAGATGGAAGACTGAGCTGGGCACGGTGGCTCACGCCTGTAATCCCAGCACTTTGGGAGGCAGAAGTGAGAGGATTGCCTGAGTCTAGGGGTTCGAGCCCAGCCTGGGCAACTTCAGGAGACCTTGTCTGTACAATAAATCAAGAAAGTAGTTGGGTGTAGTGGTGTGCGCCTGCAGTTCCAGCTACTTAGAAGGCTGAGGCAGAAGGATCGCTGGAGCCCAGCAGGTCAACGCTGGGGTGGCCGTGAGCAGTGTGCCACTGCACTCCAGCATGAATGACAGAGTGAGATTCCAACTCAAAAAAAAATGTGTCTATTCAAGGTGTGCAATGTCATTATTTGATATATATCTACATTGCGAAGTGATCGCTGCAATCAAGTCAATGAACAAATCCATCACCTCACATAGCTACTATTTTTCCTGTGTGTGGAGTGAGGAGAAACACTTAGGCTGTCTCTTAGCAAATTTCAATTATACAATAAAGTGTTATTTGCTATGAGCACCACTCTGTACCTCATATCTCCAGAACTTGTTCAGCTTATACCTGACCATTGGTATCCTTTCACCAACATCTCCCCATTTCTCTCACGACAGTCACAGTTCACAGCAGCCTCAACCTCCTGGGCTCAGGTGACCCATCCACCTCAGCATCTTGAATAGTTGGGACTACGGGAGTGCGCCACCAGGCCCGGCTAATTTTTAATTTCTTTTGTAGAGATGAGGTTTTGCTGTGTTGCCCAGGCCGGTCTCTAAATTCTGGGCTTAAGGCAATTCACCTGCCTTGGGCTCCCAAAGAACTGGGTTTGCAGGTGTGAGCCACCGCACTCAGCCTGATTCCACATAGAAGTGAGATCACGCAATGTTGGTCTTTCTGTGCCTGGCTTATTTCACTTAGCACGATGTCCTCAAGGTTCATGGGGGACCATGTTGTTACAAATGGTAAGATTTCCTCCTTTTATGACTGAATAATATTCCACTGTATGAAGCAAAGGATGCTATTTCCCAGGATGTCTTAGGACTCCAGACCCCAGGAAGGCGACTCTGACAACTTGCCACTGCCTTACCATAGCTCAGTGGGATCTAGGCTAGTAAGGGTCTGTCCCTAGTCCAGAGCTGGCTTCCTATGTGTCCCAGGGAGAGTCAGTCAGCAATGGTGAAGAGCATGACGGAAGGTCACACAGCCTGGGTTTGAATCCTGTCTCTGCACCGACTACCTGTGGGACCCAGGAAAAGCGGTCAAACCTCTTGGGCATCAGTTTTCTAGCTGCAAAATGGTAATAACAGTAGTAACATAAGCCAGGCTCGGTGGCTCAGCCTGTAATCCCGTGCCTTGGGAGGCTGAGGTGAGTAGGATTGCCTGAGCCCACAGGTTCGAGACCCGCCTGGGCAACTTGGCGAGACCTCATCTCTACAATAAATCAAAAATCAGCCGGGCGTGGTAGCACGTGCCTGTAGTTCCAGCTACTTGGAAGGCTGAGGCGGAAGGATCGCCGGAGCCCAGCAGGTCAAGGCTGCAGTGGCCGGGACGGAGTGAGATTCCAACTCAAAAAAAAAATAGTAATAACATAGAGTTCTACTTTGTAAGAACAATATGAGGTTTAATGAGTTAAAATGTGTTATTTGCTGAGAACAATACTGGCACATAGCAAATGCCGTTATTGTTCAGCTGTAAG